GCAGGTAACCTACGTTTTGCATTGGTAAGGGCCATACAAAAGTGAACATTATTTTCTATTAGTAAATAATGATGAAGATGCAAACAGCCACTAAGGACCAGGACTAGAAGATTTAAAATGTTTTCCTCAAGTGCAGTCAGAAGCGGCACTTGAGTTATCCAATGGAAGTCAGCCTAAGTCCTACTGCCTGAGCCACATCATTTCCATAATTTAACCTGGGTTTGAAAAATATTTTTTTCAAATCCTCACTAAAGAATATTTACAAAATGAATAATCGAAGGAGGGGGGGAATCACCAACCAAAGATAACAATGACCATTTTGGTACATATTTTTTCTTTTATTTTTCTAAGTATTTTATTACATTTCCTATCCTGCATCTTGCTTTTAGCATAAAACATGCCTTTTCTCATGCTATTAGAATTTTTTTGTAATCATTATTCTAATGGATAAATAATACTCTATTGTCATATATCACATATCAACATTTATATAACTTAATGTGGGACATTTAGGTTATTTCCAAATATTATAATATTTTATATAATATTTATGTTATAAATAAAGCTACATCTCATTGCATAAAACTCTTTCCATACTTAGTTTATTTTCTCAAAATAAGTTTCCAGAGGCAGGGATCAATGTGTAAGTTTCATTCAAACAATGTGTGAGTTTTAAGGCTCCTGATATTTTTAAGCAAGGTGATTCTTTTTCCCAATCAAAGCTCTGTGATATATGTCTTTGTCTCTAATTTATGAATGAAGAATATCAGAAAGATCAATGCAGTATCTATATGAAACTAAGTAAACTGATGGAAAACATGAGATGGCAATGTCCAGACAGGTTTTGGTGCCGTGGAGATTGTGGGCTCTCTTTACATATCTGAAATCAGACTGTCTATGAAGCTAAAAGATAAGCTGAGATTGCACCATTCATCCAGGGCAAAAATCAGAGTGAATTTCCCTGTTCTGGGAGAGTGAGTTTGTTGCAAGATTCTTTTAACCATGAAGCAAAAGAAAAAATACTATCTATAACCACACATGCTTGATGAGATATGCCAAATGAGCAGGATGAACCATGTGTGAACAAAGGAAAACATACACTTTATATGAAAATTATACCACACACACACAGAATTTAATATATATTATATATTTAAAGAAGTTATAATTCATTATGAATAAGAAAGAACACAAACATAAGCAAATAATAAGAGTGGACAACTTATAAACTATTAAAATGAGTAATAATCAAGACAAAACACTTAAATTTATTAGAAATCAACAAAATGCAAAGTAAGTCAACTGGGTATTTTCACATGTAAACTGATGCCATTTTTCTAGAGGGCAATTTGGCAATGCAAAGCAAGATTCTCACATTTTTCTCAGCTTCTACCCAGGAATTCCACTTCTTCTAACTTACATTAAGAAAATAATCAAAGATTTGCAAAAAAATGTCATGTGGCTGAATGCTCACCATGGCATCATTTGTAAAAATGACAACATAGAAATCAACCATATGCCCCATAGGGTAGCAATGATGGAATATTATTTTTGGTTTTGTTTTAAATGTATTATGAATGTCATAGGAAAATTTCTATAATACAATTTAATTGAAAATTTCTGGCAACAGTACTGAATACATAATTATCTACCTATCTATCCAAAAATACTAAGAGTAACTATATCTTGGTGAAATTTTAAAGACTTTAAACATTTTTTTCAAAAATTAGAATAATCTGATTTACCAATTGTGAAACTGTAAATGAAGAATATAGAATTTTCATTATAATTTCCTTTTTTCAATCACAAACAAGACATATCTATTGGTATTTATCATATTTTGTGCTGGAAAATGAAGATATTTATTCATTTATGTTGAATGATAAAACTTTATTTTTCTCATCTCATGGTGGTGTGTATGGGTAGGAAGAGGGGAAAATCCAGCTACACTAATCTTGAAAAAAGCTTTCCATTTAGACAGTCTAAGTCAAGATAGTCAGCCAGTCTTCCAACTTCACACTCACCCATCATATCCCAGCCCCTCAGGAACCAGGATCCCCAAGAGGTAAAGGGTCCCAAGCAGAGGCTTCATTCTTCTGCAGAGAGAACTAGAAAATCCTAGGTCAATGGATCAAGCACCTCTGAGAATGCATAAAGGCAGAGGCTCTTACAATCAAGATAAGTCAGTTAATGGATGTCTCAGCAGAATTGTAAGTGAGCAGGTGTTTTATTAACTCTGTCATGTCCTCAAATAGCTTTTTTCTTATATAGTAGAAAACACTACCATTTGATTTTTCATTTCTCCTTGAAAACCAAATTTATACAAGCTCTTGGCCTCAAGAGATCCAGAAAGAAGTTTCTTCCCAATGTGAAGTACTCATTTCTAGGAATCCCCATCACCTGTACTTACTTAAGAGCTAATTATTCCTGCTGTTCCTTCCACACAGTTTTCTGGGCATAATGGGTTGTGTGTCTTCTGCCCTGGGTATGGTAGGCACGGTTATTATTAGGATTTCCACTCCCCTCTTAAAGCTGTATTTTAGATCAAATACCTTCTCTTGTTCTGAGAGATCACACCACCAGCTTCTTAAACAAATCCAGGTCTCTCCAAATCTGAGCAGTGAAAACATTTTAAACCCTTTCTCAAGTGGATATTCTCACAAGGCCCTCTCACATAAAGGACTATGTCAGATACCCCACCAGGTTTTCAGACAAACCTAGATATGCCTGAATCTCAAACATGACCACTAAAAAGTAAAAGCTCAAGTTAAGATCATTGCTAAAAGTCTAATTGAGCAAGGCAAGCTTTAGTGCAGCAAAGTAGATTTAAACAGGGTCCTTGGCATTTGGGGGCCCAGTCTAAATCCTTTGTTCTGTTCATTCATTCACTCACTCACTCATTCATTCTACAAAAATGTAACAAGTACCCACTATATGCCAGGGATTAGTACAAAGATGAAAACATACCAAGATGAATGAGGCAGACCATGTCTCTGCTTTATGGAACTCAAAATAGAGTTGAGAGAACAATAAACAAGTGTACAGAAAAAAAAACACACAATTTCAAGTAAAGGAAATCAAATTAAGGAGATGGGGGTGATCATGGGCCAAGACTATATTGAGATGGAGAGGCCTGTCCTGATTTATTTAAGATGATTTTTGAGTTAAGTTCTAAATGATATGGCTCATGAAAAAGGTTGTAGGAAAAGCATGCCAGGTAAAGGGAGGAGCATATATAGGGGTCCCAGGGAAGAAATGAACTTGGTCCCATTGAGGAAATGGAAGAAAGCCAGTGTTTGAGTGAAGTGGGATTGAAATAGTGATGGAAGACGAGGTCAAGGAGATAGGCAAGGGGGCAGACCTTGTAGAGACCATGGGCCATAGTATGGACTTTGAATATTATTCTAAGAAATCACTGAAAAGGTTTTGGTTTTATATCTTAAATAATTTGTCTGGCTGCTGCAACAGACAGAATAGAAACAGAAAAACCAGAATTCTAAGGGAGCGATGATGGGGTCTCAGGGTAGTCAGTCATAGTGATATGGTCCAACATGGCCACACGGGGAATTTATTTTAGAAGCAAATTTGCTTATGGAATAACTGTGAAGTGTGAAGGAATTAGGAAACTCAAGAACAATTCCTAGACTTTGAGGCCACGAAATGGGGTGAATAGTGGTGACTTTTTATGAGATGAGGAAAATTGAGGGAGGACAAGATTTGAGGACAGGAAAACTCAAGAATTGTATTTGACTCTGATAAGTTTGAGATGTTTATTAGCTATCCAGGGGATTTCCAAGTGGTTAGCAACTATGGCAGGCTGGAGCTGAGGGAAGCTGGAGTGAAGTGCACAAATTTGTGACTCCAGCTTATAAGAGATAGTGTTTGAAGCCACATGAGGAGCTCATGTAGGGTGTGAACATAGATAGAGAAGGCAAGAACAAAGACTGAGCCTTGGGCTGGTCTAACATTTAGAGGTCTTGGTAGAAGAGAGGAATCCAGCAACGGAAATTGAGAAAGAACAGCCAGTGAAGTAGGTGGAAAACTGCGAGACTGTTGTGTCCTAGAAGCCAAGTGAGAAAAGCATTTTAAGAAAGTGGGAGTTACCAGCTGGGCCAAATGTTGTTCAGAAATGGAGTCAGATGAGGACTGAGAACTAGCAATCTTATATAGCAGGATAGAGGTTCCTGGAGACCTTGAAAAGAGCAATTTCAGTCAACATGTGGTAGAGACAAAAGCCTGACTGGAGTTGATTAAAGAAGGAAAGCCAAGTGAGAAAGTGGAGGCAGTGAGTATAGAAAACTCCATTGGCATAGAACATGGCTCTCACCATAATAGCAACTTCATCGTTAGGATCTTCCATCGTCCCTTTGGGATATTGTTGATTCAGAAATCTTGAATTTGAATTTTGTTGATGTTCAGGATGAGAGGTAAAATGCAACACCACGACACTCTTCTCCTCACCTATGTGAGGGTCAGAACAGTCACTTCAGTCATCCTAACTCTGAAGCAAAGGTTTTAACGGGGCTGTGAGCTCCACAGAGGGAGAATGGAACCAAGGAGTTGAAGGTGTTTTTTTTTTGTTTTTTTTTTTTCCATTCTCCTACTATTTGGAATTGGACCAAGATGGACTCAGGGCAGAAAGATGCATGGTTATCCAAATAAAAAGCAAGATTTTTTTTTTTTTTAAGGAAACATTTAAATTTTTATTCTTGATCCTCTATGACTTGCCCAGAGTTTCGTCTGAGATGGAAACGGCATGCCTGTGCCCACAAAGGACTTGTCCTGCAGCTCGGGCGGGGGCGGGGGTCGCGGTCAGCAGGCGCCGAGGTTCCCACTGTCCACCTTCACAAAGACTCACATGCTCTTCCCCGAAGGGGGCGCTTCCTCGGGTGTCCAAGAGGCCCAGGGCCAGCAGCCGAGGCATGGGGCAAGGCCTGCCGTCCCTGCTGTTCTAACCGTGCGTGGTCCGGGGTGACCGTGGAAGAGCTGGGTCTCTTCCCTCAGGCTGCGTCCAGGGCACGTCCGTGGTTCCGTTGTTTCTCGCGCTGTCTCATCTGCCGGGATGCTGACGGAGCTCCGATGTCCTCGGAAGGACATTGGCCCCTTTGCAGGAAGGCCCACAGAGTCTCTCCAGAAGCACCAGCTTTGTCTTCAGGTTGACGTTAAGGGGAGGCAGTGCGTTCAGGTTCAGACTCACCCCGGTGGTGCCTGCGATGCCGGCCAGGACCCCGTGTGTGTCCCTGTAGAGGGCCAGGTGCGCAGGGGCGGCCTCCACGAGGAGGTGCTTGTAAGCCCGCATATGCCCCTACACGGGCCGCACATCCTCCCTCTTCTCGTACCTCCAGGCACCGTTGACCTCCAAAAACCGAGACACGCCTGTCTGTGCGGCAGCGACGTCGATGTGCAGAGCGACATCTGTCCTGGGGGACACCAACTCATGCAGTTTCCTCATGGCCACACCACCAGGATAGTTGAAGTGGGACACGTACAGGGCTGTGGTCGAGTGTGTGGCATTCACCACGAGGTGTCCTATCACGAGGAGGGACCCCACTTTATACAGCCAAGACTTCTTATAATTGTTTAGCAGGCAGGCGCAGCCCCTGGCGGCCACGATGTTGAGCACGGGGAAGGTGTAGATTACGAACCGCGGCTCCTTGTGCGGGAGCAGTGAGTACAGGGCCACGAAGCCCAGCGAGGGCGGCAGCAGCACCAGGGCCCTCCTGTCCACGGCGCCCAGGGGCACGAAGAGCAGGCTGCAGCCCAGGCCGCGGGGCAGGGCCGAGTAGAAATACCACAGCAGCGGGGAGGTTCCCCAGTTGGAACTCTTGTTCAGGATGGTGTTGTACCAAAGCACCTTTCCCTCCGGCCACACAAGACATCGCCAAAAATAGGAGTCCACGGCGACTGTCAGTCCTAAGCAGAGGGCCCCGGCTGGCACGGCGCAGCGCAGGGCCTTTGCCACGGAGAGCCTCCGGGTGCAGAGCGGTGTCGGCAGCACCAGGCCCAGGAACAGGCTCAGCTCGGCCCTGAGCACGAGGATGGCGAAGGCCGAGAGCCGGCTGAAGCGGGCCTACTGCAGCTGCAGCCAGGCCGTGAAGGCCAGCAGCACCACGGACAAGGCCAGCACGTTGGGGAGCGTCCGCAGGCAGTAGAACATCAGGTGGAACTGCGTGGCTGTCACCCAGCAGAACATGGTGGCCACCGTGGCCCCAAACTGCCGCCTCACTTCTTTTTGTAAAGTCCAGAGTCTGAAGATGACGCTGAGTTCAAGGACAGCCCTGACTGCTTGCTGAGAGTAAAACTTGGATGCTTCTAGCAGGGACAGCACATAGACCGCAGCGCTGGAGAGCACCGCCAGGGCCAGGGGCCCGAGGAACATCCTGGGGACCACTCTGGGGAACTCGAGATAGATAGGCTTCCCCCTCCAACAGATATATAATTCCATGCTGTTATTCTGAAGCAAAAGGACATAAATAAAAATTAAAAATACATGAAAATGTGCAAATGGTACATACAAATTGTTAGTAGAAACCTGCAAATAATTCTTAAAGTATGTTGTGAGGACATTTGGCATTGCTACACAGGGTTTTCCTAACAGTCACTGATAATTGGATTTTCCTCAATCCCCGTGTCCAACTGCCCTGCAATATGTGGTTTCCTGCCAATTCACTGGCCAAAGATTATCTTTCTGCAAACTTACAGAATGAAAGCAGTAACCTAGAGCACCCAGGGCCAATGAACTGGAACCATGGACTCCTCACTAACAAGGATGAATTATTATCACATCTTTCCTGGTGATTAGATTATTCCTTATTGTTGTGTTTTATAGCTTTCTAGTTAGTCATCTCAAACAATTTATTCACAATAATAGTGTTTTTTATTATTGCTGTTTTATAGTTCCTATAACAGTAAAATTTATCCTCAACTCTATTATTACAATATTCAACTACTAATGGAATTCTTGTTTTTATTTGGTTGTGTTTTAAAGCTATAACAATAAAATTTACTCCCAAAAATATTACCACAAGTTTTATGTCCTTTAAACTACTTGATAGCATGCCTACAAACACGTGTGGTTCTTTAAGCCCACATGAGAGAAGACCTGCCAAAACATAGACATTGATCTGGGAAAGACGTGGGAATTGGTTACTATTATGGTGAGAGCCATGTTCTTTGATAGAATAAGTAATAAGGTAGAAGGAACTTCAAGACTACTGATTCAGAGAAAGGTTACATTCTAGTTAGCAGATATGTTTGTTTAAAAAATCAACTTCATTTTTCTTACATGCCAAACCCTGGATGTTTCCACCATCTTCATCCTCCAAAATAATGTGCTCTCAAAATGAAGTCCCTGATTTCTCATGGCTGGTAGCCATATGAGTTGGAAAGAGGCTCTATGAAATATTATTAACAAAGGCCAGGGTCATTTTGAAAGTAAACAACTTGAAGGACCTAAAAATTGAAAGGTATGCAGCCAAACCAGCTCACCATCCTCCTGTTCCTCAGTTTTTCTCACTGACCCTGACCCCACAGTCATCACAATGAAACTCCTCACCTGCCATGTACCTTTTCTTCTTGGTGATGTGACTTTTATAATTGAGTCAAAGGGCTAGAACATGAATTATAGGCCACTCAGTGGAACAAAATATCAGTAGGACTCAAGAAAGAGGTGTGTCAGTCAGGCAAATATTAGGGTGTGTTTAAGGGATTGGTCTCAGATGGATAATAGGTTGACTTATGGTTGCAAGCAGCGAGGCAGGCAGATTGGGTGGAAAGATAAATACTGTAAGATATCACTTATATATGAAATCTAAACAAAAAGCCAAACTCATAGAAACAGAGAGAAGGATGGTTACCAGAGAAAGGGAGGTGAGGGAAATGGGGAGATGTTGGTCAAAGGGTACAAACTTCAGTCAGAAGATGAATAAATTCTGGGGTTCTCATATACAGCATGGTCATTACAGTTAATAATACTGTATAATATCCTTGAAAGTTGCTAAGAGAGTAAATCTTACATGCTCTCATCACACACACAAAAAGAAACAGTAATTATGTGACATGATGAGGGTGTTAGCTAATGCTATGGTGGTCATCAGTTTGAAATATAGAAGTGTACCAAGTCAACATGTTGTACATCTTAAACTTAAATAATGTTATATGTCCATTATATCTCAGTAAAGTTATAAATATAGGTGCACATATATTGAAATATACAAAGATGTCGGTATATATAAAAGAAAGGCAACACAATTAGAACAGGCTTTCTTCTCTTCTCTGGATTTTCCTCCAGGTTCATTGTCCTACACCTTTTCATTTTTATTGACTATATTTAGCAAAATCATTATTAAAGATTATTACATTCATGGTCCGAATCTCAGTGCAATACTTGATGGGCCATGTACAGAGCACTGGGTTAAAAATCAGAAGCCTTGGATTCTAATTTTTGTTCCCTTATTTATCAGCCATGTGATTGGGGCAAACCTCACCTGTCTTCCTTCATAAACAGTTGTAACTGTCTGCCCTCCCACTCAGAGTTGTGGAACATATTAAATGAAAATAATGTATGTAAAAGCCCTGTATAGATTGTAAAAACTGTCAAAAATATATGGTGTAATTATCATTGATGCTAATAACAAGGATCTGCAACCAGATTATAGTTCTACACAAGATTCTTCCAGTATGATAACCATACTATATAGAAAAGAAAAACCAAACTCCCAAACAGTAAAATGTAGAATTGTTTTCTCTTTTATCATAAAATTTCTTGACATGAAGTTCTCTAGAGAATTTTTCTAAAGGTAGGGCAGAGCATGGAGGGGCTTCTCAGCTTTACATACATTTAAAAAAAAAAAACAGATTTTTGAAAATGAGCATCTGTTGAAAAGGAACTGTATCTTAGTTACTAAAATCAACTTATATAATCTATATAATCCTAGCTTGCTGTTTATGACCTAAGAACATTTTCTAGCATAGAAATTTTTAATATAAAATATCCCTAATTTAATGTAATTCCTATATTTGTATTCCCATGAATTTCACTATATGACTTTTAATATAAAATATCCCTAATTT